AATGTACCATAGCTTTTTTATCCACTCATTTACTAATGGGCACTTGGGCTACTTCCAAATATTGGCTAAATAACAAGGCAATGAACATAGGAATGCATATATTCTTCAGAATTAGCGTTTCAGGTTTCTTCGGATCTATTCCCAGAAGTGAGATTGCTGGGTGATAAGGGTGTTCCATTTTTAATTTTTTGAGGTAACTCCATACTGCTTTCCACAGTGGCTGCACCAATCAGAATGAATTTTTATTGGCGTAGATAAGCTGACTGCTAATTTTAAACAATATTTTTATTTTTAGTTTAGTAGTCATCAGTCCTATAGTCACAATGTTTTCTTGGTATCTTTGCAGCTGTTTGAGATGCCATGTTTAGGCTCAGTCCAAAAGGTTATTTTACCATTTTAACATTTGAAAGGTTTGAGGACTTAAGACTTACAAGGCAATTCCTCTGGGATGACAGTTCCAATTCCATTTTAAAGTGGCCCTGTGAATATTTTTTACATATATATGTCTATCAAATCACCACATTGAATGTCTTAATCTTACAATGTTTTACGTCCCCTATATCTCAATAAAGCAGAAAAAACAAGAAGAAAATGAGTTCAGTGTCTGGTTTGTTAAGGTTTAGCATATTTTAGAGAGAGAGATTGTAGTTATTCTTCTATAGAAGACACAGCAAAGTATCACAATATAGGGGACATTCTACAACATGAAAGGGCTCCAGTGCCCCAGGAGGCCTGTGTAGGGAACCAAAGTAGATAAAGACAAGATGGCCAGAGGCAACACTCAGAGCAAATAGAAGGACAGACAGAAGAAACCTAGAAAATAAACTGATAAGAAATGACCAGAAAGGAGAAAATACAGGAAAGGGAAAGAAGTGTCATGGTATCCAAAGAAAAAAGAGAGCCCTTGCCAGGTCCCTAGGTCAGGGTACATGTGGGAGGCAACCAGCCAATCGATGCTTCTCTCTCTTTTTCTCTCTCTCACTAGCTTTCAATAGACAGGATGTGGATCCCAAGGAAGAAGAAGACCTGGGCCATCTTAGAGGTATTGCACCAAAAAGGTGACCCCAGCAGAGGAATGGGGTATTGAAGGCTGGGGCAGAAGGCTAGACAAAGATGTCACCAGTGGCAAGGGAACTGTACATGAGACTGAGAAAAAGACCACAAAAATACCACAGGAGCAATGAATCAGCATTTGTAATCTCCTACACCAATGTCAGACAAAAGGAACTTTGCAGATATAATTAAGGTTACGAACTTTAAAATCCCTAGGGAAATTATTTTGGATTATCTGGGTAAATCCAATCTAATGCATGAGCCCTTAAAAGCAGAGAACTTGCTCCAGAGGGAGGCAAGAGATGCCACAGAAGGGGAAGTCCAAGATTCTAAGCGTGGGATGGAGTTAATGTATCTGAGATACAGGGGCCCACATGAAGGGTGGAGAGAGCCTCTGGAACCTAAGACAGCCCCCAGGTGACAGTCAGCAAGGAAACTGGAACCGCAATTCTACAACAGCAAGGAACTAGATTCTGCCAACTTGAACTTGGAAGAGGGTTTTCCCCAAAGCCTCTCCAGTAACTAACTGCCCAGGCATTAGGACTGACTTCAGCCTTGTAACACCTAGAGAAACAAGGGGAACCAACCTGGACTTGTAGCCTTCAGAACTGTGAGAAGTATGTTGGTGGTGTTTTAAGTCACCAAATCTGCAGTAATTGGTTAGAGCAGCAATAAAACACACAACACCCCAGGGCACCAATGCCAAACTACAAATATCGTAGGTCAGCACCTGTATTAGTGTTCCTCCTCCCCTCATCTCCAGTGTAACGCTGGAGGAGGCATTCCATCTGGTATAGAGAAAACGAATATGGAAAAACAGAGAGAAGGCCAAACTCAGTCCCCGAGAACAGCCCCTACTGGAGACTCTAGGTGGAGTGGGCTTGAAAAAAAAGAAGCTTCCTTAAAATGAAAATTAAGTTACTTATATTGAACTAAGGTTTTTGTTATCCGAAAGTGAACAGAAAGCTCGGACCTGCCTGGAATTTCATCCAGGGGCAGAAAAACAGCAGCTGAGAGGGCTGGTTTAAAGAGGCAACAGGTGGACTATACGAGTCACTTTCTACTTGTACCTACAACATTCGCCTCATTCAAAAGACCAGTTACGTACATCTACAGTGAATTCAAGAGTAACTACTAAAATCTGACTTCCAGAAATCAAAGTTTTATATACAGTGAAATCCACAGAGCTATTTCACATAACTAGATCCATAGAGAAACCAATATGGGCTCCCAGGTAAAAATTCTGCTTTCACCAAAAGACAAATGGGAGAAAAAGCCCTTAAGAAGTAGAACTAAAATTCATCACTACTTTTAAAGAAGCACACTGAAACTATTACCCAGAGACCAAGTAAATCAATTTCCTAAATAAGTGAAATGAGTACCCATGTTGAAGTGCTACACTGTACTTCACATTCATTAAGTAATCAAATCAGCACACTGTCTTTCAAAGGACTGTCTTGAGGAGGGGAAAGAGGTTCTTCAAAACAAAGTTTCTACTTCATGTAAAAATTATTTAAATACCTTAGATAATGTTAAATAAGATTTTAAAAGTTGCACAGTGCCAAAACAAAGAATCTAAATGCAAATTTTAAACCATATGAAACATTTTTGGTAAAGAAGGTTAAAGGTTAAAGTGGCAAATTTACTGAAAGTTGCTTCGTCAAGAGAATTTTTGTTAATAAAATACCACGAGTAGGTGCAAATCAAAATTCAAACCCAACCTAAATCTTGCATCCCCCACAGACATAGAAACAGCTTCAAATCTGTCAAAAATGTGGTGCCCTGGAAAACCTGAGAAATATCACTAATCCACATTTAAGGAAAAAGACCCTTCTCATCTTCAGAATCAGCAGGTGTTCCCTACAATGTACTGTGATATGATCAAGGAATAAGAAAGAACCTATATATTTTTTTCTGAGAAATAAATGTTTATTATGGAATGTCACTGAGATTATGTGGCTGTTTAGAGTTCATTTTTTTAAAAAAAACGAAGTTTTGACAAGCTCATTCATTAGCAAAATGGGCAGCCTTGAGAAAGCAACAATTTCATATTCTGCTTAGTAAAGTGAATTTGATTGCAAAAGACCTGCCAATGGAGACTTGTTTAAGATTTAACAAGTGATCTGGCCCAGTTATTAAATACGTGTTCTGTAAACACTAGAAATATCAATATCCATCTCCCCTGTAAATACTATTAAAATTGATGCTCTCCACGAGGAGAAGGGTTAAGACTAACAGGAAAACACTTCTAAAGTAATTATGTTCAGACAGAATACCATAAACCGTATTCAGTGCTGTCCAGGTAGTTGCTTAATGGCTTGTGGCGATAAAATGTGGCCTCCGTGACTATCTAATATCTACAGCCCACTCGCTCTACTTACTCACATGGCACCAGCAATTATGATCAAGAAGAAAAAGAAATGTTTATCTCTTATTATAAAATAGTCTTATAAGGTAGTCACAAGTGAACCAAAAAAGTCCCCTTCCAGAATCTCAGATAGTTTAGGTGAGTGGTTCCACACACAATGCGTGGTTGGGGGGGGGGAGGGTACTTGACCATCTTGAGTCCTCCAAGGAAGTACTGTGGAGAGATACCTTTACACAAGCCTCATTACTACAAATGTACAAAATAAGTTTTTTGTTCTAGGCTGAAATTATACCAACTCATGGTGACAAGGGTTAGTAAGGGGGTATACAGGTATAAGTAACTAAAACCAAAATCAGCACTTCATCAAGAACTGACATAATAGGTAAGAAGTTCCCAAGCCTAGGATTCATGCAAAACAATACTAATAAAATATTCAATAATGATAAGTTAGGAATCACTAACACTAATTAAAATTCCCACAAAGACGCAAACTAGGCATCCTTTCCTTCTGAGGTCTTCTGAAGGTCCAGGGGCAACACTGAACACAAGTACTTGTTGATGAAAAGGAAATAAGGCAGTGTCATCAGCAATACACCTGCTGATTCCAGCTGAACAAGGACAAGACCAGCTAGCTATTAACTTTTTCTCAAACTCCAAGCACCTCTTGTAGTCCTAACATTAAGTGCCATCTTAAATGACATCAGAAATAATTTCCCTAAGTTAAGACCTGTCTCTAGTCCACCCTCTCTGCTAAATTTCCCTAAACTACTACAATTTCCTTTCAATTTTGGTTTCCCCTGAAGTTAATGAGGTATCTCAAAAATTAAAGTAATTTGTTCCTGTTCTGAACTTATAAATAACTTAATCATTAAATACTACCTTCTGGCATTTTTTACTCATTTACTTTTTCAACTGTTTGTTTTGAATCCTTTGAGATAAACAACTTGAGGGTAGAAACTATATATGTAAATCACCTATTTATATAAAATTAGCATTCATTTGTGGTAAATAGTTTGAATATACTTAACATGTGGGCTGTTGGTCAAATTAGTTCAGCCAGCTTGAAAGCCAGGAGCTGAGTCTGTCAGAGAATACCCATCATTAGAACCAACTGAAGAAGGCCCCAGGTGTCTCAACCCCAAATGAGTGAGTTCAAGCCTCTACAGATACACCTATTACAGGACTATAAGAACCCGGTTATCCTGAGAACCAAGAAATAAATAAAACAAGTTAACAGATCAGCACACTTAACACACACAGCAGAGCACATGACCATCATTCTAAAATGTAACCAAATCCAGACAGACACCATTTAGATAATCTAGTCTAGACAAACTGTATCATTTCATACTTTAGAGTATTTGTGTTTTCAGATATCCTGTATAAAACAAAAGACTGGTCTGACATTTTTCTTCACTTTCTTCTCTCTGTAATCTTAAAGATTCTATGCCTAAAGTGCCATTTAAATGACATCAGAAACCACTCTATGGAACATCAGTTCCAAGTATTAGTGCTCCTAAAACATGACCAAAAGAGAAAGCTTTTACATCAGACATTTCATAAGAAACAAAATTCTTACCATCATCTTTTCAAAAAGTTCTAAGAGTTCCTTCTCTGATAGTGGCTTTGGAAGGTTTTCCATCGCCTCTGAAGAACAGTCACTGTTTGCAAATGCAGTCTTCAGGTTGGAAAGTGGAGGCCTCTCTTTCTTGCTCCCTGGAATTTTTATGCTGGCAAATCTGTCCAGCTACCAAGAAAGAATAAAAGAGCACATATGTAAATATTTCCTTCTCAACCTTTATCTAATCCCCAAAACAAGCAAACAAGGTCAATCACATTATCAATTTGATTTCATCAGAAGGGATTCAGCACCGGTATCTTTAAAACTAAATACACACACACACACACACACACACACACACACACTCTGTGTGTTTTAGTAAAAAGTTTACAGTAACCATTCTGTCTAAAAGCAGAAGAGAAATAAGACCACCTCAAAAGATTCCTTTTAATCTTAAAATTATAGAATTGAGAATCTACTGTCAGGTGGCCTTTGCTTTACGGATTATCAATCTAAGCACTTTTACAAAGATAACTTAGCTAATTTAGTAGCTGGCAATCAAACTATTATTCAGCATCCTGGCCCTCAGCTCCCTTGTCCAGAGCCCTTTTCACAGTACATACTATACTCTGGAGAAGTGTGGGTTGGTGTGATTTAGGAATTTTAAGCATTCTATTTTTATCTCCATAGCTTGTTGGCCTGATAATCACATTTCTCTTTACTCAGAATGGTCTGTATCTAAACTTCATGAATACTGTAAATTAGGCTGGTTAAAGCCTCAGGAAATAAAACGATTTTTGTTGTAATGGGATCTCTTCTACAATTAGATCAAATAGTTTGCTAATATTTGAAATGTATATTAGTTTGCAACGCTAGTTATTCATTTATTTTGAATTTTACAAATTCTATTTCTCACAAAGAACTTAGACTCATACAATGTTTCAAATGGTAACGATCAAAAAGGCAAAAAGTCTTTTAAAGTAGATATTGAGAACAGAACTATTCTTAAAGGCACAATGATTCTGTGAATTGTTCACCATAACTGTGTACATTAAGCTACTTGTATTGCCATAACATGTATAGTACATAGAGCCGTGCTACATTCACTGTGGTAGCCATTAGCCCCATGTAGCTATTTAAACATAAATAAAATTAAAAATTCAGTTTCTTTGTTGCCCTAGCCACATATCAAGTGGTCAAGAGCCACATGTGGTTAGTGGCTCCCATACTGGTCAAAGTACATATAGAACATTTCTATCACCACAGAAGGGTCTATAGGATAGAACAAGTATAGCCCATTCAAGAAATACAACTCTTAAAATTCTCAACTTAAAGAGAATGTCTTAAATAATAAGATGCAAATACAATAATACTTATCTTTCGAAATAGGTCTTTAAACTGAAGATAATGCCTAAGGAAAACACTCTGTGCCCCACTCACACATGGTCTGTGTAACGTGACCTAAACATTAAAGTACTAAGAATATGACAGCTTCCAGTGAGATTTAGAAAGTAGTCACAAAACACCACTGCTTTCATCCTAACAACCAAAACAAGCCACAAAAACTAAAAAATTGTAGTAGCTATTGACTTCAACCCATCAGGGAGTTGCAGACACAACAAAACCTCTAAGAACTATCAAGAAGTAACAGGCTGCCTTCATCACTGACAAACAGCTCTAAAGAAGTAGTTAAACAAGGGTAAAGAAAAACCAAATTTTTAATGAACTACTATTGACAGGAGCATGGGTACAGGCATGAGAGACTAGAATTCCAAGGAGCACCAGTCACAAAGCCCAGCCATGGAGCAAGTCTGCACCCACCTACCAGCTCCTCCCCTGAAGTCTTCACCATCTCCATGGGTAACATGCCAATGGTGGGGAGGGCAGAAAGTTGGGCAAGATGGTCCCTGAGGCATGTGAGGTCTTTCCCAATGCAGAGCAGCTGTCCTCTGAAGCCTCTGGCCTAAACAAATAACCTCAGAGAAATTCCAATAACACATTCTGGACTTTTACAAAGTAGAGGACAGCTGTCATCTGAAGGCTGGGAGGAGGACTCCAGGTCAGAAAGATTTCCTGAAGAAACAGAGAGCCAGAAGTGGAACTTAAAACATAAAGAAAACTCTACCATAACCCTACAAGTGGGTATCAGGACTTTAAAACAGAGATACCCCATGTTTTGAAAGCTGGTAGTTCAGTTGTGAAGTCAAAAAACACACAGCCAGAACCTCATTACTGCTCAGATTCCAGGCCCTCACAACATTTGAGGCCACAAATGAGCTGAATAAAACTAAAGTAGCAAGGAAGCCAAAACCCAGTCAAGTAGAGGTTGCACTGACTCAGCCTCCCATTCTAGCAGCCTGAAAGAAGGGCATGACCTTTTGGGAAGCAAGTATTATTTAATTTCTACTACAATTTTTTAAAATGTCCACCATATGATCAAATATTGTGAGACGTGCAAAGGTGAAGAAAATGTGTCCTCTAGTCAAAAGAAGCAGACCTAGAGATGGCCCAGATGGTGGAATAACCAGACAAACTATTTAAAATCAATCTATAAAAATAACAAAGGCCCAGCCGGGCATGGCTCAGCGGTTGTGCATCGACCTATGATCCAGGAGACAGAGGTTTGATTCCCAATCAGGGCACATGCTCCGGTTGTGGGCTCNGGTTGTGCATCGACCTATGATCCAGGAGACAGAGGTTTGATTCCCAATCACGGCACATGCTCCGGTTGTGGGCTCGATCCCCAGTGAGGGGCTTGCAGGAGGCAGCCAATCAATGACTCTCTCATCATTGATGTTTCTATCTCTCTCTCTCTCTCTCTCTCCCTCCCTCCCTCTCCCTTCCTCTCTCTGAAATCAATAAAGATATTTTTGAGAAAAAAAAAAATAAAGGATATAAGGGATAAAGGGTATAATGAAAAGAGTGGACACCATGCATGAGAGATGGGGAATTTCAGCAGCAAGGTCATGGAAACTTTTTTTTAATGTCTTTTATTCATCAGATGGGCTTAACAGAACCTAAACATTGCTGAGGAAAGAACTGGTGAGCCTAAACACAGATCAAGTAAAGTATCAAAACTGAAAGAAAAAAATGGGGGGGGGGAGGAGAAAGAACACAGCAACCAAGATCTGTGATACAACATGAAATATTGTAATACAAGTGTAATTGGGGCCCAAAAAACAAGGAAGAGTGAGAATGGTAGAGAAAATATACTTTGAGAAGTCTGTTCTAATTGATTTAAAATAAAATTTAAAAAAGAGCCACCTAGGAACCTCCTAGTCAAACTGCTGGGGGGGGGAAAAAAAAAAAAGGAAAATAAAGAGTAAATCAAAGTGCAGCCATAGAAATGAAGACATTATATACACAGGAGAAAAATGATACAAATGATAACTAATTTCTCACCAGAAACAATGGGGGCAGAAAACAATGGAATGGCATCTTTAAAGTACCCAAAGAAAAATCCTGTCATCCTGGGATTCTATGTCTAGTGAAAATACGTTTCATAAATAGAAGTAAAATAGAGACCTTTTCAGACACACAAAAGTTGAGAGAGTCTGTCTCCAGCAGATCTGTTCTATAAAAAGTGTCAAAAGAAGTTTCTCAGGCCAACAAGAAATATACCAAATGGAATCCCAGATTTACAAAAAGAAATGAAGAGCATTGGAAAGGTTATTCTGTTTGATGTTGGCAATACACAGGTAAATGAGCTATTTAGGACCTAAATAACTAACAACCAGGTAAAGGAGACAAGCACATAAGCAGGTAATTATATAGCTATATAGAAAATGCAGCAGGAGGTATGTACAATGTATTACAGTAGCAAAGAAAACGGACATCTAAACTCACCAAGATAAACATGCTCTACTTAGGAATAACCCAGAAACATAAAATTGTCTTCCCATGAATATATTCCCAGAACTTATTGTCCCTATGTACATTAGTACCCCAAATTCTTCATATTTGTTTTAAAAAACTAGAAGACACCAAAAAAAAAGCAAAAAACTGTTAAGAAATGAGACTGGCTACTCTGTCTTCTGAATTACCACTTCATTGCCATCACTGCTATATAAGGTATATCAATCCCTCAGTGTAAAAACTATGCTGACTCTTCACACACCACAAAAGTGTAACCTGATTAATATGCTAAACATGACAAGAAATTAAACAAATCATTAATACAACATCAATATTATAAATGTAAACATGTCAATGAATGGGAATAGTAAACTTAAGCAATTCACAAGCTGCTTTGTGCTTACATAACTTAATGGTTCCATCAGTGGTAGAAGAAATAAAAGTTTAGTTTTCACAAAAACAAAACAAAACAAAAAAAAACTTTCTTAAATAAAAATCTCTAAGTGTCATAGAAATAACAATGGCTACATGCTCGGCACTGTGCTAAGAGCTTGAACTGCAGCATCAGGCTGAATGCATTTGTGTAATCCTTACAATGAGGAAACTGAATGTCTAAATAATAAAGGACAAGCTCCAAATCATTTCTACATAAAAATTTCATAATAGTTGGTATATAAAATAGCATAAAGGGGAAAAAATAAAACACAACCTATTACGTTTTTAGAACTACATTTGTATAAATAAACAATATCAGAATTTATACAATAATAATAAAATAGAATTAACACACCTCTCCCGGAGGCGTAGCACTTAAACTCTGGGGAAGGCTGGATTTTATCCAAGTGAAAAAACAAATTTGCACATTACCACTAGCACAGCTAGCTACAGGCAAGGTAAGGAAAATTAACATATCCCTCTTCTAGCTTCTAAATCTTCAAAGGTCCAAATAGTAATAGGAGATACAAAAGATCAGTGTTTCATAATCTCATTACAATGCTTTAATCTATTTTCCCTGATTAGTAGGCTTGAAAGACAAAATAAGGAAGGAACCATAGGAGAAAAATAAATACAATCCTTCCTCCCATACTAGAACAGTAAATTGAATCTGTTGAATACCTCAGGCTTAAAGTAAAAGTGTTCTCAGGTATGTGATGCTCTAATGAGCACTACAGGTAGATTCCATGTAATCAAGATATTATTACAAAACTAGATGCAAAGTGAATTTACTATCAAATCATTTTAAATGTTCTGAAGAAATTTCATTTTTTAAAAGGGGTGATACTATGTGTTCACTTATAAATGAAAAGAATCACTAATTTATCTTTCATAGA